TTGAATTAATTCGAAGCCTCATGATGAGTTGATTCAGTGGCATATCACAGTCCTGTGGTTTGTGGTATTAAGAAATCCCTACAATGTTAAATTAGTTTTTCCAACTTCTCTGACAATGAACAAGTGCTCCGGATAGGCAAAGCCCTGTTGAATACTTTAAAGTATCTATTAAAGTGTTGAACTATCCAGTACAAAGATTTGAAACCTCTAAGTTACCCTGCTTGCAGAATTGTGAGGGGAAGATAAAACAAGAGCTTAAAATGCTTTTAAGATCCTCACATGCGAAACGCTGGTATTCACATCAGATTATGCACCTGTATGCAAACATTTATCTTAAACGTGACGTAAATCTCAAAAACTTGACTTACAGGTACATGACAAAGGTACACAATGGCAGTTCAGAGAACTGAGATGGGTGATGTCTTTTCACGGCTGCCAGGACTCTCAGTCTATTGTGACAATACACTAAAATCTATTCAGATGTACAAGCAGGTTTGTCGTCTGTAAAAACATACACACCTGCCAAGTTAGTCTCCTCCTAGGAGGAGCACGTGCGAGGTGCAACAAACAACTGAAAAATAGTTGTAATATAACGTAATATGCATGATTGTGTAACCATGAGGGCATCCAGCAGGTCTGTCACCTCATGTTGATGATAATTTTTTTAGAATTGTAAAAGATTCTATGATGTTCTGTTAATGTTGTGATCATTTACTCATCCTCATCTCAACTCCAGTGCTGCTTTTATTGTCCTTTTTTATAGGAGTTTTGCAGTAAGAATCACCATTAACTTTCCTCATCAACTAGAAGCTCCAGAATCTCATTTTGTTTTTCATGAAAAAAATGATGACACTGAGGTACATAAATGACAATATTTTTGTCATCGTTGGGTGGACTGTTTCTTCCATTGTAGAAAGCTATTTCGAATACAGATCTAGATAACTAGCTCGAGTTTATTTGTAGATCATCCTGCATGAAGGGCCTCCACAGAATATAGAGCGTCAACCCTCAAACTCACAAAAATCACAACGCACAAACCGGTTATTTTCCAAAACCTCTTCCTCAATTGGTCTTCAGCTGAAATGGGGTGATGATGTGTACCACGTGTTTGTCAACTCACAAACAGGTTGTTCAGGGAGGTTACAAATGGTAGCAACCATGACAGGAAGTGTTTTTTATCACATCAATGTTGTCCTCTGAACAGCACACTCAAGAGGAAGTGGTCTGACAGAGGCAGTGTTGCTCTCGCAGCCAAAAGAAAAAATAGCTGGCACATTATTACAAATACAGCAAAATCACCGGAATGACATGACATTAAACTTTGCTGTTCTTCTGCGATTGTGTACAGCTGCCTCTTATGGGGAAGAAGTATTCAGCCACATACAGTCTAATACGCTTGCTTAACAGTGAGCTCTTTTGTACAAAAGTTTACACTTAAAGAAATTAATGAAAAATATGTTTAAAGTCATGTAGACTCACATGTGATGAAGACTCCTGCCATAACTTAATAAAAACTGTTTTATTCTACATGGAGAGGGTCACCTTATGGGGGCAGCCATCTCAAGATCACATGACCAACCAAATACTATTCACTCTGTCTTGGTAGCCTTCCCCTAACTGAGCACATTTCCTCACAGAATACATTAATCATGTCTGACAGCAAATGATGCATTTCAACAATGCAAACATTTGCTTCTGTGCAATGCAACATCCACACCACTAGGTGTCAGTAAGTCCAAGATGACTGCCATACTGGCCAGTGGCAAGAATCAAATATTACTGAATACATCTTTAAATTGACAATGAAAAAGTAACGGCAGATTTTTTTCTTCTGTACAGTTGGGATGTGCAAGACTAGTTGACTAGCCGACTAAACGGAACTGCAGCTGCTAGTTGACACTTGAAATACTAGTCGAAATGTAGTCATTAATGTTACATTTAAAAAAAAAATGTGAACAAAAAAGTGAATATCTGGAAAACAAAATAATTTCATTTGACCTCAGACCTTGCACACATGTTTTTTCATAGTGCCACTCACTAAATGTTCACTAGGAAGACGAGCAAGGTGTGGGAGCATATTTACCGGTCTTTACATAATGAATAAAAGTAAAATGGCTTTCTTCCGAAAAGTTTTGTTGACATTTTTTCAAGTCATTTCACGTTTTTCAAGTTAAAATAGTGTTTATAAGCGCAGCACTGCTTTGTTTACAGGGGCAAACATGGTAACCACTGTATTTCTGCTTGTCCAAAAGTACCACCTACTGACAGACAGTGAATTTGCATTGTCATTCAGCCCGTCTGCTGTTTCTGTTGCTGTCAGTGTTGTAAATTTGAACCGTTTGATAGATAATAAGATCAATTTGGATGATAATACATCTTATTATATTTGACACTTTGAAGAAAAAGTGGACTAAATGATGAAATGTCCTACATATGTCACCAAAGAGAAGTCTCTCATTTTCACTGGAAGATCCAGTTATGAGATTTTGATTAAAAATTATGTTTGCAGAAAATTCATAAAAATGACATAGAATGAATGAATCATTCACAATAAGTTCAGTAAGGCAAATTTTAATTTTATGCTGACTTTATGCTTGAGCAAACATTTTATGCCTGCAACCAGACTCTAAGATAATATGGAACTGCGATACTAAACTAAACTAAAATAAAATAAAATTAAGCTTAAAGGACACACATTGTGCCAATCCAAATTTACAAGCTTCCCATGAGACCTCATTACATTGGGAGGACATAGGACGCATTCTATGGTCAAATGACTGGCATAATAGGTGAGGAGAGCTTTAAACGGGTTTAAAATAGAGCAAGCCCTCATGAGCCCAGAGAAAAACAAGCACATTTTCAACCTTATCTTGTTTAAATCACAGCAGACAGTAGTTAGCAGAGACATTTAAAATGGGTGTTTCAAACCAGATTCAAAACATTGGAAAGCATTGTGCGGTCAACCATGCAGGGGAAACTAACTCAAATATGGGTGTGCAAAAATCACATATGCCTTTTATCCTTGTTTCACAAAAAATACATTTATATTAATACACATGTATATCAGTGTAATGGCGGAAAAAGGCAGACCCATTTGCCTGCTGCAGCAAGCCAGAGGAACCAGTCCATCTACTTTGCATGTCTGGTATGGATCCCTGTTAGCTATATGTGTGAAGTTATTAATAAAAGGGAAAGAAAAGACAAACGGTTGCTTTTTAGATTATAAAATAAATGAGATCTAGAGAAACACTCCCAGCTATCTGGAGAACTTTGTGCCAAGACCAGACTGGAACACTATTGCATAATTTATAAAGCTTCTCTTCCATGCAATCTGCTAATTATACAATATTTTTTAAAGAGTGTCAAATTAAAACAGTGATCTGCAAGTAGACATTTCTCTGTGGTGACCCCTGATGCTTCTTGTATCCTGCACCTGCTGTTTTGGTTACCATGGTAGCCATTCATAAAGAACACTTGCTATAGTGAGCCGTTACAGCTGACTTCAGCTGCTGACCAGTAAAGTGGCCATCATGACAGAGTTTCAGAAGGAATACACATGGACGCCCAACTCTCAAAAATGTGCAAGAGTGCAGTGTGGTCTTTGTATGCACTACTCTGCCAGAGGGTGTTGTCAACATAACCATTCTTAATGTGGCATGTTTATTTCTTTTTCATAGTGAAGGGAAGCCCGACTCATTTCTGTGAATCAGGTTATTCCAGAATAGTTTCTTTCAACTGGCTAAAAAAATGATTCAGCGATTCTTTTAAGTCATGACATTATCACATGGCCCCTGACATCCTTTAATGGCATATTACATACTCTAAATGTCTCAGAAAAAAAATCCATAGGTACACATATTGATTATTATTATGCCAGCCAGGACATTATCCATAAACTTTACAGACATTTTAACCCTAAAACACAAATCAAAATACTGGTAAAACACCTGTGAAAAATCAACACGGAAAATTCGCTTGGATATTTTCTTTCTTTCTTTTATTCATTCTTTTCTCTTTTTTGTTATTAAGTTTTATTATAAACGGTTTGCATTGTAATTTCACAGGCCCCACAGCTCACTTTGTTACAACAACGATTAAGCTCATAAAAACAAAGTTATAAAACTGCTGATAAAACTGTCAACTCTCCAACTGTAAACATACAATTCTCTATGCAACGAGTCAGTAAATTGATGACGAGAACTGCTCGGATCGATTCGTGAACTAAGATGAACTATCGTTCTTTCGTGAACAAATCGTTAGGAGCCGGTTCAACTGAATCACTAAAAAGATCCGACTCAAACGAACGATTCGTTCGCGAATCGGACATAGCTAATTCATGAGCAAATATAAAAACATTTCAGCAATAATACATGAAATGCATATTTTAAATAAACTATAAACAATTCAAGCATGTAGTTAAAGTTCTTCGGCATTGTGATTAAAGACTTTAAATTAAACATTAAATAATAGCCTACATTGTATTCTCTGCATTGCTGTTGATTTATTTCAACTAAAAGAACTTGCAAACCACGTTGTCTATTCGAGACTATCTGCAAAATCCAAAGAAAAAGAGAAATGAGCAGGAAGAGGCATGGCATTACCTGACTCACAGGTAAACACTAGAACGACACAGAATAACTGTAAGCATCAAATCGACCTGTTGGGATGAACCATAGCGTTACGCTTAGTGAAAATATCATCAGTCCTTGTCATCACAATTGTCAGTCGCTTCATAACAACATGAAATATTAAGCGAAAGTCAAATGTTTTCACTGTGTAGGTGCACGCGCAACCTTCCCAGAAATATAACCACGGACGCACTTCCTGAAACTGTTTCTACACAAAGGGGCAAGGAATTATGGCGAGTATTTTTGCCTTTTAATTATTATGCAGGATGCGATATGATATGATATGAAATGACAGTGGCAAGTTTGCGACAACATAAACTCCGAAGCTAACAGGTGTCGAGTGGCTCGCGCCATCGCCTGCTTGTGACTCACCTTAGTGTAATATAACATCCACAGCTCGTACAGTCGCTCTTTCGAAGCCATTCTCCCTCGCCCGTCTGCGTATTCCCTCCACTTAGGCGTCAATCAAACCAGCTGAATATACATCCACAAACGAAGTGGCCATGGATTGACTCGGCGAAGATCCAGGGAATACTGTTTGCTAGAAACGGCATGCTGCTGTATAGCTGTCCACTACCTGGTTGCCAAACTCTCCCAAAGTTGCACGTGTTTTAGATGGAGGGTGGGTCAAAATGACAATTCCGAAGAAAGAAACTAAAGAATGTAGAGAGCAACATTTGAGAAATCTCGCCGGTTAGGCGCCGGATAAACGCACATCTCTGCTGGAGGAATTCTAGAGGAGTTGAACGCACTTGTCTGTGCACACATTCATTACCCTGTTCACCCCCCTCCTCTCGAGCGTTACAGTGGCAGTAGAGAGCAAAGCAAGAAATAGCCGGGAGGAGTTCAGCCTCAAAGCTGCACAAGATGAAGGAAAACCATTGAGCATCATGTCACAGTTGATTGTGAGAATTAGCAGGGATGGAATGGCACTGGAGAGCAGGAACTTATCCTGGTGACTTGGTTTGTAGAAAGCAAATTTACATTTACATTATTAATTTGTGAAGCTTCCAGTACACAGGAAAAAGTGTGTGTGTGTGTGTGTGTGTGTGTATAAGGGGCCTTGAGTGCCTGCCCTTTTTCTTCCTGTAGAGAAAGTGCCCTTTTTTCTGGGGAGTGTGTTTTTTTTTTGTTTTTTTTAAATAAATGAATATATGTATATGTGTGTGCGTGTGTGTGTGTTTCTGTTTGCGAACAGCTTTCCCTGTCAAACAAATTAAAAATCAAAATATCAGGTCGGGTCGGGAAATGTTGTGGATGCCTTACTATGGAGTCAATATAATGCCACATATATATGCAAAATAATAAAGTTTTGCAAAAGAAAATAAAGTTTTGCAAAAGAAAATAAAGTTTTGCAAACGAAAAGTATTGAGAAAAAATTAATGTGTTTTTTTGCAAACAAAAATAAAGAATTGCAACAGAAAATGAAGTATTGCGAGAAAAAAAGAAGTTTACCTTTACCTTTCTCCCTCCGTGTCTCCGCGCAGCACAGCAGTGTAGCACACACTGATAGGCTGCATGTCACTGACAGGCAGAGAGAAGCAGAAGTGAAGCCCTCCCTCCCTTTCCATTTGTGTTTGTCTTGGTGTGGAGGTGAGTGGTGATGAACAAAAGACTAAGCTACCTGTGCCTCGAATTTACAGCTAATTATCCGAAAGGCAATTATAGTTTATTTGTCTTGCTGCTAACATCCATGACTCATGAGAGCTACCATGTAAGTTAGCTAAAGTTTAGCTAAGGCAATAGAAAGTCTAGTAGGTTCTTTCACTGCATGATTCAGTTTATTAAAATGCATTTAGAATGATCACAAAGTTCAAGATATGGGGCAGAAATTTATATATTTATATCATTGCCTCATATTGTAGTATATGATATATGATATCAGTAGTGATACTGATAGTTAATCAGTATCACTCGAAGACTGACGTTTTTCCCACCAAAAAGCAGCATAATTACAAATGTGATATTGATTTTATATTTAGACACTTACGTTTTAGACACAGTATTGACTGTTTTTGCTCTATTTCGCCAACAAATAATTCCAATTTGCAACTCTGAGCAACATGACGCTGTTTCATTCCTGAATGAATCAACCGTTTAAATTATTCGGTTCAATCGCAATGATTCACTTATTAATAGTGACTTAATTTCACATTTATAGTATCTCTTCATTTTTTTTAAAATAATTTCAAATATCAGTATTCAACGTTTTATGTTTAAAATATCAAAACAGTATTAATGCATTTGTAACTGCAGTAAATACATTCATGTCCTGCTTTAAACAGAGTGTAAATGCATCTAAATGCCCCTTCTAATGCAGCTTCTGTGTTTTCTCTGCATTGCAAAGATTAATTTCATTTTAATTTCATTAATTTGATAGACTTCATTTGCTTGGTAACAGCCCAAATTACTTATTATTATAATTGACTGATTCAATTTAAGAATTTGCACACACACACACACACACACACACACACACACAGACAGACAAAATGTGTATGTAAAAAAAAATCTATATACAGATATAATTATGGAAGAGAATGTTGTTTGTTTGTTTGTTTTTATTATTATTATTACTTTTTATTTGATTTTATTTTTAATTCCAAAGATTTGGAAGTGCTGACATCCTATTTAAAAGGATAGTTTACCAAAAATGAAAGAAAAAGAATCATAAATCAAATGAAGCCCCACTAACAAGTTTATTAAAAATGAAAGTGTAATTATGCTGATTTGGACATGCTCTTTGACATTGTTCTATAAATTCAGACATAAATTACAGTGAAATTCAATAAAGACAATATTTTGTTTCAGGCCTACAGAGGTCTCAGGCTTTTTTTTATTTCATTTTTTAGTCAGAGTCCTTACTTAAATTGAGTCTTGTTTGGTGATGAGTGTTTTCGTTTGTCCTGGCTGTGCAGTGCATAAGAAAGTTGTTTATGTACAGTTAACGCTGCCTGAATATTTGATGCTTCCTTCTTGATTGAAATTTGCACATTAGGACATTGGCTCTGATTCATTGTATCTCAGGGTTTAGCCGTGATTTTGGATCATAATTGGGATTTGTCACATTGCTCTTGTTAATTAGTTAATTTTAACTACAGGGGTGGACACCTGAGGCTGGAGAGTGTGGAAAAGCTTTGAAAGCACAGGTAAAACCAAAGCACACACAGGCACGGTGTGTCATCATTATTCTACACAACACACTGCAGTATTTATTATTCTCCACAAAACACACTCTCACTTCACCATTTAGATGCAAACAGGATCTAGATGAATTAGCGTACACACATATAAATAAAACATATTTTCTATTTTCTTTCCCTAATACATGCCTTTGGCCTGCCATTTTTTTAAATAAAGTATTAATATTCCTTCTTGTTGTTTTAATCACACAAACAGTGTGACTTGATGAGTTTTTTTCACAGCTCAAGCTTTTGAGAGTAAAACATCTTTACATTCAGATTTATTCAAGATCCATATGGTCATTGGATCCCTTGAGAGCATGCAAACTCTATGCAAATAAACTTTGGTTTGGTAAAGAGTCTGAATGATCTCATTTAATGTCTTTCCATTTTCATTTGGCACATTTGTTTTTGTCTATAACTGCATGTGCAATGACACCGCCATATAATTCTGAAGGGTCTATTGTGTTTGGTGCCTGACTGGAACAACAATATGCTTTTGATGACGGTAAACTTTAAACATAGATTAAAAGATACCGCAACTTAAACAATACATCCTTTCTAAATCAAAGCACATATTTACCCCTTTTCCCACACTATATACTACAATATGAGGCCTTTAAACAATAAAATATTTAACTTTTTTTTTTACTCATTTTAGTAATCAAATAAAATGATAGTCTAGGAGGGGGGGTGCATAATGCAGCATTTGTATTAATCCCATTGCTAAGTGCATCTTTGTGACTGTTTGGTCACTGGGAAGAGGATGGACCTATATGGCAGCTGTATTGCCATGGCAATGCCCTACATTCCACACCATGTCATGTTTGGGGGATTGTTTGCCTGTTTGAGGAACTTGTGGGTCATTTTTTTTCTATTCAGATGAGTTGTGATCTGAATATGCTTTTGATTAAATTTTTATTTTATGCTACTTAAGTTAAACTCTGCACAATCTTCATAAATGTTGCTACTTGTTCTTTCTTAGGCTTTTTAAACAGACCAGAGCATATATATAGCATTGGTTATCTATCTTACATATTTTACTGTTATGATGTTTGAAAGTCTATATGCAGTTGTAAACTGTTGATTTTATTGTAGCCTATTGTATTTTTTTTATTTAGAAGTGTAGTTTTTCTTTGTGTGTGTGTAAATCCGCCATTTATCGGTTTCCAGTATGAAATTATTATATTATTAGCCGTTAGCTAAAATATGAATGTAGTCTGTAAATCACCATCCACGTTCTTTATGTGAAAAACAGAAGCTCCAGAATCATCTTTTGTGTTTCATGGAAAAAATAAAATTAAATGATATTGGAGTACGTAAATGATTATAGCCTATATTTGATTTTTCGTTAGGCTATAGAAAAAAATACACATCCAGACTACTAACCAGAGTCACAGAGTCAATTATCAAACTCACAAACTCACTCCTGCATATGTCACTATAATCAAATTATCTAAATAGGCCAACCATCATTCTATATGCACAGATTAATTTATTATTTATATTTAACTTTTTTATTGTATAGTAAGGAATGTAATATTATAATTATGTTATTATATTATAGTCAGTGTATTATAGTATATATATAAAAACATTATTTACATATTTTACCGTTAGTTTAATTATGTTCAAGGCTGACAAGTTATAGTAATCGATGTGTTCGGTGTTCTTCTACCAAGCTCTGAACAGACAGCATAGTCGATAACAGATTCATCGATCCGGCTACCCATGCTTTATTTTCACCATGGAGAAGCCTGTGGGTTCTTTACAAGAGCAAGCTTTAAAAAGAAAAGAAAGATTAAAAGCTCTACGAGACCGGCAACTTCAAGTGAGTGTGATAATGAATGTTATTTCTTTAAGGGGAAATGCGCGCTCACGGGCTAACATGCTTTAGTTAGCGAGTTAGCATAACAGTAAAGCATTGCATTGTTTAATAAGCAAATTAGCATCAGTTGACGTCAAGAAGATGCATTCTAATAATTTTAGCTCTTGACTTTTCCACCATTTATCTTTAAATACATTTATTAGTGTCCAAAGAAGGAAGTTTAGCATTAAAAAAAGATTAGAAGTTACGCCTCAATTGATTTTGTATTTTGTGTTTGAATGATCTTTAAACCAACACGGTTCTTCCCTAATTTGTATTACAAGTTTGCCTTGTATTTATTACCATAATCGCAGCTTAAGCTTTCAAAGTAAATATCAAGACAGTTAATAATGCCTTCTTTCTTTGCATGCACATTTGGGCGGCATTATGCTAATATTTCCACATAGTGACATAGACATGTGGGGGCGTGTTAGAACGAGCCGTTTTAGGTAGGCGTGGCTGACTCTTAACTTTTATAAAGAATATCTCTTTGGATTTGAGACTTTAGTCTTTGCAACTTTACAGATCTTCTTTATGCACCAAGAGCTTGTAACACTCCAAAGAGAAAGGAAAACTTGAAATCGCATCATATGACCCCTTTAAATGTGCACATTAGAGCTTTGGCTCTTTCTTTGTGTATCAGAACTTTCCTGTGCTTCATTGTATCTTAATCTTATTCGAGTTTTGGAACATTATTTGGATTTTGTCTCTTTGCTTATATTAACTAGATGTTTTTTTTTTTTTTAAACTAAAGGGACAGGCATCTGAGGATGGAGAGCCTGAGAGAAAAAGAGCTCTGGAGGACTCTGAGACAGAGGACAGACATAGGTAAAAAACACACAAAGATATAAAATCTAGTGTCATTTATACATAAGGATACTAAACTAAATTCTCAGTTCTATCATTTAGAACCATATAAGTCCTTGTTGGATAGAATGCCTGTTGTAAATGGACAATAAATAACAAAACTGTACTCTGTTTACATGATCTTAAGAAGGGCTGTGAGGTAAAGGTCTCTCTCGCTCTCAGCTCTATTTCAGGCTCAAGCCAAGGCCTCAAACTCTTTGCTTTTTTTCCCCCCATTGTTTACGTTCAGATTCACAGAACCCTTGTGCTTCCCTCCCTGAGCTCAAGAGGTGTTTGGCATTGACAGTTTGCAAAGGTTCCTAAACAATCATCACCCAATATCTGAACTACGTCTCCCTTAGTACATGTTAAAGTAATAGTCCACATAAAAAAGGGTAATTTACTTGAGCTCACGTCCTTCCAAACCTGTATGACAATCTTCTTTCATGTTCCTTAGAAGAAAATGATGCAGTTTTGCAACAACATGAGGCTGGGTAAATAACAGAATTAACCAATTTAACACTTAATAGATCTATAATTTTGTGGCTATAAGGCATTAACTTTGGTTTTTGAGATGAAGGTGATATTGAAGGTTGTCAGGCAGAGAATGTTTCAAGGTGTGTCTCCTTAAACATGCATTATTAAAATGGCAACACAGTTTGGAAACAATGGGCCTCATTCATGAAACATACGTAAATATATGAGTAAATTCTGAGTAATTTATACGTAAAATCGACCTTCCCGAAAACTCTCTTCTGGATTCACTGCATTTTTCAGGAGTAACGCGTTGTTTGCTATGGTTTGGAATATTCACGGCAGTAACATGTTACGAGTATCTTATTTTGAAGAATATTACTGAATATAAAAATGCAGTAACCAGCAATATTAACTTCTCCATTGTTGTGTTGTACAAGTATGATCATGGTTGGTCAACGTAATGTTTGTCCCACCCCTCCTCCACTGTGATTGGACGGCTGTGTAAAAAGGGGCAGTGACGAGCTCTGCATTTTACCCAAAGTTAAAGAGTAAAAAACGAAAAAAGGACAGGGCAAATTAACTCGTTAAATATCATTCTAATACATAGTTAATAAAAATGCAGTGTCATCAGATTGTCTAAAAGAATACAGAACGTTTGAATGTTTTATGCACCATTTACACGTGGTAGGGAGCAGGTGTAAATTTCTTTCTTACCAACTAACATTTTCAAAATACGAACATTTTTATGAATCCGAAAATTTACGTCAGAACGACTTTTTGAATGATTTACACAAAAAAATAGTTTTGCTCGTGTTTCATGAATGAGGCCCACTGAGAGGTGATTCACCACCCAGCACACTTGTTGTTTTAACAAATCCTTTGCTGCTATACCTGAGAGATAATCTACTTGTCTTTAGAAAAGCAAAGCAACAATTTCTACTGTAATTTAGTTGATTGTAATAAAAAAAAAACTTGAATAAATACTCCCAACCCTAGACTGGGAAAGTGGAACGTAACAAGTGGGGGCTCGTCCGGGATTTGAACCCAGGACCTCTCACACTGAAGCGAGAATCATACCCCTAGACCATAGATGGGATTTAATGGTCTGTTTTTATGATAAAATAAATTCAGAATGAATCAAAATTAAATTTTAATACATTAAAAATACTACTTTCATTCAAAAGTGACAGTAAAGAAAATTATTAAAACAGGTTTTGATGATTCATCAAATCCTGAAAAAATATTACAATTTCCACAAAAATAGCAGCACAGCAAAATTTACAATTTTCAACGTTGATAATGATAATGTTTCTTGTCAGCAAACCAGCATAATAGAATGATTTTTGAAGGATCATGTGACACTGAAGACTGCAGTGATGATAATGAAAATTCAGCTTTGCCATAATAGGAATAAATTACATTTTAAAATATACTGAAATAGAAAACAGTTGTTTTGAATTGTAATAATATTTCACAATATTACTTTTACTGTATTTTTGATCAAATAAATGCAGCCTTAGTGAACATAAAGGACTTCTTTAAAAACATGAAAAAATTTACATACCCCAAACTTTTGAACAGTAGTGTACTTTATTGTGCATAAGTGTTTTCTGCTTATTGAGTTCCATATTCAATAAGTGGAAACATCCACTTTTGTTGGGCAACAGCTTGGTCTTTTTGTTTAAGCTGTCAAAATTCTGAAGTGAGGCGAGGCAGATAATGAATGTCTGCTCAGCTTTTGAATGCAGCTCAGCCTTTCACCTGTGCCAGATGGTATTTAGTCACAGCTTAAGCGGTAGGACAAATGTCCAACTTGACTTGGAATTTTCCCAAGCAAAGCAACCCATCCTACCACATCATATTTGTTATTTCTGTTCTCTCTAAATGAGTTTTGTCAGCAGTCAGGATTTACTGTACCACTGCTGCTTATTTTAGGTTGATGGAAGCCTGATGATGGTCCCCTCGGTTGTTTTGCAAGCTCTGAGAAACGAGAGACCTTCCACCAAACTGTCAAGGCCCTCAATTCAGCTCCGTCCCTCTGAGCACTTCAAGAACACAAGAGCTTTTCCCTTGAGCATTAATCCGTATTTCTGTATGTAATTAAATTAGAAAACAGGATACTGTTCTAGCCAGTTCGCTCAGTCCCTTGGCCACAAATTATTCAAGACTCCAGGATGTTCGAAATGCTCACTTAGAGTTTGACAAACAGCTGTTGACATTCTAAAATTGATGGATTGTTTGGCCGCTGTACTGTAGATGAGGAAAGCCAGTGGTCCTGTATTGTTCCAGCAGGTGGTCAGGAAGTCTATTCAGGAAAGCTGAGGACAGGGAGGAGTTCCCAGCTCTTTACAGCATTTATTTAAAATATAAATCTTTTGTAACATTATAAATGTATTTGCTTTCACTTCTGATTAGTTCATTGCTAAATAAAATAATTAATTTACAAAAATTTGCGAATGTGTTTGCAAACTTTTTGAAGTAGGAGCTTCAAACCTATAATTTGTGAGTCTTGTTTTGAACAATTCATTAAAAGAACCAGCTCAAAAGAGTTGTTTGCTCATTAAACAAATTACACTGTATGTGTGCTCTGTCTTTGTAGACTTATTTACATGTCATTGTTTAATTTTCTTTTGTAGTGGAAAAGTGTCATCTCAAACAGTGCAAGAATCACTGGGCAGCCCTTGCCTCTAATCTTATTCTCTTTTTTCACTCTTGACTTGTGTTCTCAGGATCTGGCCAATCTTGCCCCCAGAAAACCAGACTGGTACAAACCTTTAATTTTTACTCCTAAAACGCAATCATGCATCATATTAATTGAGATCCATTTTAGTTAAAATTTTCATTCATTTAATGCTTGTGTTGTGTGTTTGTAATAGGGATCTAAAGAGAGACGTTGCCAAGAAGCTTGAGAAATTAGAGAGGCGAACACAGAAAGCCATTGCTGAACTTATACGTGAGTATGACATGACTGAGACTAAGGCAGGTCTGCACCAAGGATGATATCTATAATGATAACTGTAATGACACATTTTCAATAATTGTTTTAATTGCAAATCGACACAATAACGATGCAAATAATTTTTTCCAGCTGATGATGAATGATAAAAACATTAATTTGAAAGAGCTTGAGCATTTAAAGTGACAGATGACAACTGCAGCACGCTTTTAATAAGAATGTTAGAACGTCCCTTTGGTGTGGACACTAATATAACGTACAATGTATAACTAAAGCATTAATCCATCTCTGCATCACTTCTTTTATCAGTAATATATTGAAACTATAGTTGTAGAGCCTTTTTGCATTGAGCTCCGCCAGGGCTTGATGTAAGGCTAATTGCTGAGAAGGTTCAAAAGCTCTGGAGATCTCTTAAATTACATCATATATGGACTTCCTGTCTCTGTACGCTCCTCTGGCACAAACTAGACCTTACATTACTAGTTTTGTCTCTTAAACCCACAATTTAAATAAATTCTGTAATTTCTTAAAAACAAGTATTTTATGGATCACCAAATCGGACATAGAGCACACAGGAGTTTTTGGTGAAACACATATTTGATGTTCATAGCTTGCTTATGTCTGGGCATTTGTGTCATTCCACAGGTGAACGGCTCAAGGGAAGTGAGGAAGAGCTGGCTGGAGCGGTTGGAGCAGTTGGCGTGGAAGAGGGAGACTAGGATTGAATCTGTTGAGAATGACGGTCACGCACAACTGATTTTCTAGAAGTTTCCTGCCCAAATCCTCATTACATAGCAGCGTGTGTTTAAAACAGATTTTTTTTTTTATGCTGAGCTCAGCATGAGTTCACACACATCCAGATCAGGTGATTGTGAGAGAGAGTGAGATACAGAAAGGAAGAATCAGAGGAATAAAGGTGTTTTTGTGTTTCATTATGGAGTACACAAAGACGACGTTCTCCTTTTTATTATTATTTTGTTGTTTTGTATAAGTAAACAGTTCTTTCTCTTCTAAATTGACTCGGTCTTTTTCCTTTCTGGGTCTTATGATTAAAAACATTTTCCAATGTCAGTACACTTCTTTTAAAACAGAACTTGAATGCTGATAAAGAAGGGCTAAATTCATATTTTCATGATGAATTTTTCTCCTTTCTCATTAATATGAGAGAGTTCTAAAATGATGAATTTTTCTCCTTTCTCATTAATATGAGAGAGTTCTAAAATGATGAATTTTTCTCCTTTCTCATTAATATGAGAGAGTTCTAAAATCAGACACGTTACAGAGAAGAATACAGTATCATAATTGAGGAGAACAGTACAGATAAAACTGCAGTACATTATTCTGGCTTCATGATATGTAGAATAAGTTAGAATAAATTAGTGTGTGTACATGAGCCAGTCTCTTCAAGTACTTAATCAAATCAAGTACATTTTTGCTTAAAGAAGAGTTAAATCTGTCAGATAAAAAAAAAAATTCTAGAATTATTCTGCCACGATTTAAAAGATGCAAATTTTCGGAAACAAACTGATAGACCTACTGTACATTTTGTTAAAAGACAAGTCATATGGACAGCACAAGTCTTTGACAATAAAGTGCATTCCTCACCTCCCTCTGTAACACGGCTAAAACTAAAAGCAATAATGACATTTCACATTAAACGTAAACTTATCCTAAACATCCTAGGAAGATAATAATAATATATAATTTAAATATATTGATATGTTGTATGTTGGTATGTCTATTACGAATTAATAATGAATATATATATATATATATATATATTAATGTTTAAGAGTAACATTTTGTTCTGTGTGGTCACTCTCAATTGGGCCAAAACCAAAAAAGGAGATGCTCACCACTAAGAGGTGCTATTGCACACAATATGCTGTGAAGTATACAGGTACAGACACTGAATTTTGGGTTTTCATTATCTGTAAGCCATAATCATCAAAATTTCAAGAAATAAAGGCTTGAAATATTTCACTCTATGTGTAATGAATCTATATAATATATGGGTTTCACTTTCTGAAATGAGTGACAAAAAATATTGACCTTTTTCATGATATTCTAATTTTTGGAGATGTACCTGTAGATACATTCGTTCTCATCTTTAGCAAATGGTTTCCTTTCCAAATCCTGGCTTTATTTCCTCCTTCAGTGACAGAGTGGTGTTATCAAATAACTCAAGAATCAGCCAAATAATTTATCATCAAATAATTTCATGAATCACCGTTTCAGGGGCCTCGCTTATAAAAGGGAGCGCAGAAACCATCCTAAACGTGATCTTACGATCATCTCTCAAATATGCGTATGTGTGATTCATAGAATGAACGTACGCCTCTCTTTCAGATGTGAAATCTATGAATCGCAACTAATCTTGAACTTGCGCGCAACTGAATGGTTTCAGCTTTCTGCATTGTAAACGATTCCTAATTAATGTCATTAACAAAAGATCACCAGGCATTGTCCAAATCCTTTAATTTAGAAGAGCGAGCTGCAAGAACAGCTTACATTTCCAAAAACCTGCAGCACTCCGACAAGAAAAAGTACATACGTCTGCTCAGACCCTGACGTGACGATAAACACTTTTCCACGTCAAAGGCAGTTTTTACAAATATGAGCGTTGGCATGGATTTAAGTGTATGCGCACACACACTCTAAGATCAAATCTTTGCGAACGCACACTTTATAAATGAGGCCCTAGTGGTTGAAAATGAGACCTTACGGTTATTAGCTTGGATCTTGAAACGCTAAGACACCACCTCTGTCAGAGAAATAAAATCAGCAAGTGCTGATCTCGTGCAATTTGGCTGAACTCACATCCTCTGAACCTAATAAAAGACAGATTGGCTGGTTCAACACGCATAACAATCATAGAAGTCCATACCAACCATACACAAAAAATACATAATTTGGCCATTATTTCCTAGACTACATATTATACCAAACAATTTAAAGGTTTTTGAGTAAATATCAGTAGAAACTTTAAGCATTACACAATTACGATACTGTGGCCTCTTGTGTAGTGACTCCACAAAGTGTTTTTTTGCTAGATTTACTGAAATATCCTGACCAGTCTTCCCTGTGGAGAATATTCTGTGATACTTTGAATTTATGGTGACAGAGAGCTTGTCTAGATATTGGTGGTGTTAGTGAGACTTTGACATGCAGATCAGCTGGTGGAGAAAAGCCATTGCTAAGTAGCAGGAAGAAACTGGAACTTATGTGGCATCACAGATGTTACCAGAACTGTAGCCCTTGAGTAGGATTGGAAAAGTGCAAGGCTTGAGTTGATGCCATTTCTGGTGTTTACTTGTGAGGGTTGATGGTATGCATTAATTTTTGCTTTCGTTATGTCCCCCCGTCTCAATTTTTCTTGCAGCAGGGCCTAGCTCCACCTTACACACTCGCTGGGCGAATTTTAGCGAGCACAGGGTCTCTCCAACATTGCTCTCAAGAGAAGAAACCTAAAGAAAACAAATATTTTTTTACATGAGCTTTGTTGTTCATTGGCTTTATTTAAAAATTTACATTACAATATAGGAAGCGCTTTAACGCTGTGATCCAACCAACTCTGGGTTATTGCCTTTTTAAACCCCGGCCAATTTTTCACATTTGTCGTTTTGAAAGGGGCTTGGCACAGCTAAGCTAACAGGGTTAGCTAGTGAGTCTTGGTAAATCATTGTACCTGAACAACCATGGCGGTTTTGTTGCCTTTTCCCAGTGAGTCCTGCAGCAGGTAGGTGAGTCGTGAGTTCCTGAAGGGTATGTGAGTCTGGTGGGCCTTCAAGGCCTGGATCACATCTCCTAGAGCCAGCAGTGAGCGGTTGATATTCTGGGCTTCCTTCAGTCTCTCCCCCTCTGCCCCAGACTTCCACACCCTCTCAGAACCAGCCAAATCCACGAGATTCAGCTTGCCTGTAAAGGAGAGGTCACAGATTATGGCCATTCAAGGATAGCGATAGCTTTTAGAGGGGGAACTCATGACTTTGAGAATTCTCGCACAACTCAAGCAATCTAAATTGTTCCAGAATCGTTGGGACTGACCTGTGGTTTTGGCTCCACTGGCGAGGTCTGTGCCCAGCACAGTCACAGTGAGCAAGGCATGAGATCGAGAGCTATGCTGGTTCATCTGTGTTCCAAATGTAATCCTGTTCTTTCGAGCTATGGCCAAAATCTGCAAAAAGTAACAACAGATCATTGGAGAGAGTGGTCTTTGTATAGTCAGCATTATCTTGACATATGAACTCACTTTCTTGATATGCTGGAAGCTTTTGACCTCCATGACCCTGAGTCCTGGCACATGAAGCTGACCCGTCCCATCAGGGTTGATCTTGATGTCAAGTTTCTCTCCATCCTTACTGAGCAGATCTCTGACGTTAACAATAAAGAAATGTTAATGATTTAATTGTAATACAGGGTTAGTGCACCCAAAAATGAAACTAGAAATTTCTGTTCCTCCATTGAAAGTCCATTAAACCAAAAGTTTGACACATCAAAAAGTACATAAAGAGACTGTAAAAGAAAGCTCCAGGGTTTTTCCAATGAGGTTTTTTCTTGCATGTCAAGCAAGTACAGTTGAGCTTTCACTTACCATATTTGATGTGCTCTATGTATGTGTTGATCAATGTTTAAATGGGAATAAATGACTTGAATTAAACCACTCGAGTCATATTTAAGAATCAATGTTTTGGAATAGACTTTCAAAGGAAGGACAGAAATCTCTTGCGTGCCATAAAATATCTTTATTGGAGTTATAAAGTTGAAAGGAAATCTTATGAGTTTGGAACAACATGAATGTGAGAAGTTAACGATAGAATTTTAATTTTCGGGTGAACTAATCCTTAATATTCCTAATAAACATCAATTGAACGTCAGGTTATTTAATGATCTAAAAGCTCACTTTACTTAGATGCTTCTAACATTATTGGCAACAATTTATTTTGCATTCAAGTGGCAACCACCATAGATTTTGGCATGATAAAGGGGTAAAATGCAATACCTCAGGACCTCGTTGTAAATTTCCACTGAGCTGACACTGACGGTGTATGTCCACATGTCTTTTCTTTCCTCAATCTCATTGAACAGGTGTTTCAGGGCTCGCTGGTTGATGCCGGGGTTCTCAACGGTTCCCTGAGCAGACACGGATGGTTAATGAGACCTGACAGTCTTATTGAATAATTAATGGAAACAGATCATCTGGGTCAAAAGTATGAAATTGGAACCGTTTGTTATGACCGGTATATCATTACAGATCCCTATATGTTACCTCCATAGAATAGGTCTTGCCAGATCCTGTCTGGCCATAAGCAAAGATGCAAACGTGATATCCATCTATACAGGATGTGATGAGTGGCTCAATTTCCTGGAACACCTGAGATAAAGACCAAGAATAGAGAATGGGAATGTGTCGTCACAGCGGCAATGCATTCTGGGAATTTAGGTCACGGGAGCTACAGCGGAGACTGGATAATATAGTGAATGTAGACGTTTGATGATTTAATGTTTATATTACTCTACTTAAGATCGCGTTGGAGTGGTTAAGGCTCACTTTACATTATTTGCCATAGCCCTTTGCACGGCCGGTGTGAAAAACGTGCTTTTTTCAGCGTTAGAAAGCTGAAAGAGCAGAGCCATAGCCATAGCCCTTAATTTATTATATACAGTGCATTAAACTGTAAGCCCTCACACTACAAATAGAAGAAAATCATATATGACAATACACATCGTTTCAAAGCAGCTTACAGTAAGCTCTGTTACCTCTATAATGGCTTAATTCTTTACACTGAGCAGTTTTATTGGGCAATATGACGATATATAACCATGATAAATGATCCACTGTTTGAGATCTAGCTATGTATTCTCCACTCTAAAAATAGCCATGGTTCTGCTGCTCTGACCAGTGTTTTAGCAGCTAGCCTATATCAGCACCACTGTAGTGAAGGAGACTGAATAATGAATATTTGCAGCCTCTCAGACAAACCACAGAGCGATTTCTTTTTTTAAAGAGATTTACATATTAGTCCGTTTTATTCTAAGAGTATGTAAGATGGTTTTCAAAAAAAAATATTAATAGTAAACAGTCGGCTTTTTCTGTGGTGATTTG